TGGGCTCCATGATCACTGCAGATGGTGACAGCAGCCCCGAAATTAAAAAACGCCTGCTTCTTGGGAGGAAAGCGATGACAAACCTCAACAGCATCTTAAAAAGCAGAGACATCACCTTGCTGACAAAGGTCCGAATAGTCAAAGCTATGGCTTTTCCTGTTGTGATGTACGGAAGTGAGAGCTGGACCATAAAGAAAGCTGACCGCCAAAGAATTGATGCTCTTGAATTGTGGTGTTAGAGGAGGCTCTTGAGAGTCCCCTGGACTGTAAGGAGAACAAACATATCCATTCTAAAGGAAATCAAACCAGAGTGCTCACTGGAAGGACAGATCCTGAATCTGAGGCTCCAATACTTTGGCCATCTCATAAGAAGAGAAGACTCCCTGGAAAAGACGCTGATGTTGGGAAAGCGTGAAGGCAAGAGAAGAAGGAGACGACAGAGGATGAGATGGTTGGACAGTGTCATCGAAGTGACCAACATGAATTTAACCCAATTCCAGGAGGCAGTGAAAGAGGGCAGGGCCTGGCGTGCTCTTGTCCATGGGATCACGAAGAGTCGGACACGACTAAACAACAACAACAATGTGAAGGAACATCATCCTACAAAACATCTTTCCAAATATATGAGAACAGTGTCTCTAAACAACAACAACAATGTGAAGGAACATCATCCTACAAAACATCTTTCCAAATATATGAGTGCCGAACAGTGTCTCCTGCCAGGACAAGACTCTACTGTACCTGGACCAACTGGAAGTCACTTAATAGATGTTAAAGCAAAGTAGGAAAATCAAAGAATAATAAAGTGAAATGGGGCCACTTGGATTAATTTTCTGTGAATGTGGAGAATTTCAGTCAATGTAGCATTTATGTGTATGTAGTTTGTGTTCTACCACATGTATGAAAGAAGATCTAGTAAATGGCCAAGATAATGCTGTCAGTAAAAAATAGTTCTGGTAAAAAATAGTCAAGTTGGTTGGTGTGGGTTTTTCGGGCTTCTTGGCCGTGTTCTGAAAGTGGTTCTTCATAGTCAAGTTATTTTAACATTTTTAATTTGTTTAAACTTTATACTTCTTATGCATCCATGGTTTTAAATTGTGCAGTGCTCTGATATGAATAGAGGAAGGGTCCTGCAAAATTCATTATTCCAGACTTATCCACAGGTACAGCACTGTCTAGTGTCATCTCCATGCTCCTACCTTTTAAAAATTTTGTTGCTATGGGAGAGAAACCCTAATTTTTGCAATGTTGTTGTTTAGTCTTTAAGTCGTGTCTGAGTCTTTCTGACCCCATGGACCAGAGCACCCCAGGCCCCACTGCCTCTAGGAGTTTGGTCAAATTAATGTTGGTAGCTTCAGTGACACTGTCCAACCATCTCGTCCTCTGTTGTTCCCTTCTCCTCTTTCCCTCACACTTTCCCAACATCAGGGTCTTTTCCAGGGAGTCTTCTCTTCTCATGAGATGGCCAAAGTATTGGAGCCTCACCTCTTTTTTTTTTTTTTTTTGGCAATAGCTCAGTTTTAATTTTCTTATCAGGTAACATTCTGTGAGGTAACAAGTTGACATTGAAGACTTCAATGTATTCTAAAGGTATACATCAGATCTGAAACCAGACCATAAACTATTACCATTGTTTTGTCTATCATATGTAACTCAAGCACTACCACTTCCCTTCTGCCCCTCCCCTTCATTGTATTTTTTAAAATCCTCTTTGTAAATATTGCTTTACCCACAGGGAAGGGGCTCTATATTTGTGATTAGTGAGTAGGGTTGCCAGATAGATAGGTACCAAAAGGAGGACATAGACAAAAAGGAGGACAGAGGAGCATGTATTGAATGTTTCATTTGAATCGTTCCGGATTAAACCCTCACTCAATACAATTTTATTACAATAGTTGCCAATAAATGCCTCTTATAATGTCTCAATAAATGTCTCTTTTATTGTTTAACATGACCAAGAAACAGTCATGTTAAAAAATAAAAATAAATTCAATGGAGGCTTTTTTTCAAAATACCAAAAATATTATTTAAACAGCCAATTGTACCTGAACCCTCCCCCCTGTCTGGCGGTGGGATCCCCCGGCTGCTCGCACTCTGCACAGGCTCAGAGGCAACTTTGCTAATCTGGATGCCCAAACAAGGCTCTGGTGCAGACAGGGGGAAAGTGGTGCCGGGCAAAGCCAAACGAGGCAGCCTCCCCTCCCGTGAGGGTCATAAGTTCAAGGTTGGGGAGTGTGGGAGTTGGAGTCTCCGAAAGGGACTTTGAACACACACAGTCCAGGTGCTCGCCTTCCCATCAATGCGCTTGGGCGCTGCTTGCTCCTACCTGGCTCGGTGGGCGGCGCTCCACTTGCGCTGCCTTTCTGGGCTCCACATAGGCTGGACGGGCATGGTGGATCACCGAGCAGCCGCTGCCATGGCAGGAGGGGATGAGGGCTACGTTCCAGCGCCACTGGCAGGTAATGAGCAGGCGGGTGGGGGCAGGGAAAGACAGGGGGAGCAGGTCCTTCCACCACTCACCCTCCCATCCAAAATTATAAAATAAAATATACAAAAGCCAGACATTTTAAAGGTTTTTATCTTTGCCTGCCGGATGGAGGACATTAGGCTAAAAAGGAGGGCAACCCTATTAGTGAGGGAAACTGCAATTTAAAGGCCTGTAGTTTGAGAGAAAGAGAGAGCAGGGGAAAGGAGGGAAGGATTTCAGTGGCTTGGGCTGAGCTCTGGCATTTTATGAATGGAAGGCCTGCTTTCCTTTGTGCAGAGGGCTTAGGTACAGTAGGAGGCTCATTAAACTCCTGAGAATTTCTTTACCATCCATACTGCTCTGTTCCAGATGGTTTTTGAACCCTTCAGAGTAGGTGGTGGGAACTCCAGAGGGGGAAAAGAAATGGGTTAAATTGCCTCTTTTCTCTAGATTGCATTTCATGAGGTGTGTTCCACAGTCAGAACTCTGCTCATGGGATCTGATCCCACACCTTGGACAAAGTGTTCATTATTGATGTATTTACATGCTGTTGACAGGAAAAATATTTCCCTTCTCAACCTCTATCTTGCTATACTGTTGAAGCTAGAGAGGCTGCTTGAAATAAGGTGGCAGCCTTTTGGTTATGTTTACAAGTGTGTTTATGCTTCAGTGTAAATTTTCTTACTAATGTCTCTCCCAATTATCCTGAGACACGTCACTTAATAAGTACTGATGAATTTGATCTTAAAGTTGGAGGGGGAGGGGAGGAATCTGCCTAGAATATTATAGATGGACCATAAAGTAATCCTGCTTTGCAACAGAGGAGATTGCAAAGAGTCAGTATAAGAAGACATAGAGCGGGAGTGAAGGAGAAGATTTGTAAGAGTCTGAGTGATTTAATCTTGGTTTCTAAATCAGTTTAATCCTTCAAATAATCTGTGTATCCAGCATATGTAAAAATGAATGAATTTTGTTATATTTTTAATGGTCAGTGCATGGATGTATCCCACTCTCCCAGTTTTTTTTTTTTTTTTAGAAAAGATAATAAAAATCTAACCATAATCTTGTACTCTGGCATTTCCCAGAAGGATGATATTTTAGTATCAAAATGGTTAAACCCAAACTAGTAACTACTCAGAAAACAACAATGAGGGACTATTGGCAAATGTGAATCTATATGCTATTGATTTTAAATCTGTAGCTGAAAAATAAGCAAAAACCCTGGTTCAAACATAACAGAGAATGCATAAAAATATAGTGAAGGATGCAGTTGTTATGGTTGGCTTATCATCTTTGCACTGATAGTTTCTTCTGATGCTTCTACTTTGCACATCTTTGTGTAGAGAGATTCACAGAGTGGATGTTTTTTTCTCCTCAGTGGCAGATCCTGTCAAGTTGAGCTCTGTTGACATAAATGCATCATAAATAAAAGACTTAAAAGATTTAAAGTGACAGGTCTCCTGAACCATGAAGCTGAATCATCATTTTATTTTAGTGTTGTTAATACACTTGTCTAATGCCTGGAAACATGCTGGGTACATGCTGATTTTGTAATTGCTCTATGCATAGCTTGTCATATATTTTCACAAGTGAAAAAGTTAGTGTCTTCCTCAGAGGATGTGTGTAGCATTGCTGGGTGTTCTTTTAAATAAAAACTTTTCCTGTGTAGATCTCTTCTCTCCCATTTCAACATTGGAAATGCCATGAGTCATGCACTCTTCATTTAGCTGACAACAGCTAGAAGGACTGTTTAGCTGCTAGCATGCTCCTTGCCTAGGTCTTGTCTTCACTGTGGCATTAAAGTGTCTCATGATGTGAAATGGGTTAATAAATGATAATACAGTTTGATACCCCACAATAGGTGGAATTTTATAGAAAGCATTTTATATAGTATATTAAGGTGGAAGAAGAGGAGATTAAGACAGAGAGTTTGCTGGGATACAGTGGGGTCTTGACTTGAGAACTTAATCCGTATTGGAAGGCGGTTCTCAAGTCAAAAAGTTCGCAGGTCAAATCTGCATTTCCCATAGGAATGCATTGAAAACCATTTGATCCGTATCTGCTCATTTCCGTCCATAGAAACTAATGGGAAGCTGCTATTCTGCCTTCGACCACTAGAGGGGGATATTTTGTTTCTTTTTTTCTTAGGTCAAGAAAGGTTCAGGGAAGGCAGGGAAAATACAGTCCAGGCAGTACAGTACCAGGCAGTCTGAAGACTGTCTCCCAATCCACTCTCTAAACGCTGGGAGGAGTGAGGAAGCAGACAGGCACCCTTTTCACTGGCCAACAGTTAACTGAAAGTTCAGATTTTGCACTTTCCCTGCCTCCCACGTGGTTTTTTTTCAGTTCTTAACTCAAATCTAAGTATGTAAGTCAAGTCAATATTTTCCTATGAGAGTGGTTCTTAAGTCAAAATGTTCTTAACTCAAGCCGTTCTTAAGTCAAGACCCCACTGTACTTCTAGAAGGTTACTAAAAGCATTACTTAATTCACAGTGAACACTACAGAGGCATGAATGTATTTTATTTTCTAGAATCAAAATAGTGACTCAATTTGTGGGACATACCGACGTACAAACCCGGCAAAAACGGAAAACACCGAGACTTCAGAGCATAGATCATCAGTCTTACAAATGCAAGACCATGTGAGTTCAGTTAATGTGGTTTTGCTGTTTTGTTACTTTCAGAACTAGTTCTAATAAGGGAAATTATAATGCTTCTGTCTTCATTCTAAATTTGTAGATGAGACCTGCATGGAATTAGTCTGCATCAGCAGAGTAATCACAATGTATGTCTCTGTTGAGGCTATACTACATTGGAGCTTACATATTTACCCTGTGTGTTACCTGTGTAGGGTTGCCATTGCCTGTGTGGACATTGCATATCTAAATTAAATACCGTATTTGCTGCCGTACAATATGACCTTTTGGGCCCAAAAAATATGCCTCCAAGTGGGGGGTCGTCTTGTACTCCGGGTGCACTTCATTTGGGCTCGCTCGCCCGCCACCCGCCCATTTCCCTTTTCCTCCTCCTCCTGCCGCCCCCCTCAGCCTCTTGTCCTCTTCCTCGCCCTCAGCCAGAGCCCGCTGCCCCGCACGCTCTGAGCCAGCGGTGTGCTCACCCGCCACCCCCGTTTCCCCTCTTCTTCCTCCTCCTCCCGCCCCCCCCCCCTCCCCCCCTGCCCCCC